ATACTATTAATATGTGGATTAACTTAATAATTAGTTATTTCTAAAATGATTGACTAAATATATCTTTCGTTAAGATTTGAATAAGCTGCGCCGTTTTATCACAGACAAGTCTATAAAACTTATTTCTAGCATTTGAACACCGCAGTAAACAAAGCTACGATGTTTTAATCCACGATTCCAAAAAAAGTCGTCCGTAGACCTACGGCGTAGCAAAGCGCTACGGCGTAGCAACCTCAAATACTAAAAGTGTTATGTATAATTTCATTTTGAATCTGTAACATTAAAAGTAGTTATTATAAAACATTTACATCATGTAGTTTTAGCCTTTATTTTATAAGAACAGAAAATAAAGGTTTTGCCTTGAGTGATTGTTAAAATATGGAATTAAATTTTATGAGTAGTTTATTTCGGTATATAGAGACTTTTAAACAAAGGTTCGGTAAATGAATATGTTTTGTGACAAGTAACATTAATTTAACAAATATTTTTTGTAAAAAATTATTGAAGTAGATAGCTTCTATAGGTTAACGTGATCTACCAGTATTTTTGAAACTGAAAAAGGATAACTCTAACAATGAATAAAACAATATGGAAGTAGTTTCTATTCAAAGACACACAGAACACCCAATACAATATAACGAAGGCAATATTTTGGTTGCTCCTGTATATATACAGTTGTAAACGTGTTATCCAGTTTCTAATAAACATTAAGCCCCCGAAAGCGAGAACACACAACCTCTCATCTGTCTTGGTTGAAGCACTTAAGCTCGATCTATTAACGCTCTTGTAATTTTCAATACCATAAATCGTGGAACATCGTATTATATGTCTGGCGTTGATAGCCAAATCTAATTGTTATTGCTTACCTTGTTTCGTATGACGTCACCCGGTAACCGAAAACCTCGAAACATTTTAGCGCGATTCGATTATCGACACTAATGTTATAAATGTAAGATTGTCTGACTGTCTGTTTGTTTGTCCATCTTTTATGGCAGAACGGAGCGATACATTGACGTGAATTTTTAGTGAAGATAGTTAAAAGGTAGCAGAGTGATATAGGCTATTTTTGGTCTCGTTATAATCCCCTAAAATAAGGTATGGAAGTTTTTATGGAACATTTTTACAATATTTAAGCTAGAAAAAAGTATAAAATTGGTATGTAGGTTATTAGTCAGTAATAAAAAACCATATGTAATACTTATTTCAAATTTATGCAACCTTTTAATAATTTCGAGCAAATCCACGGACAAAAGCTCGTACCTTCATACACGGAGGTAACATTTATTAATACGCAGAAACAATTAGTCTAGGGAGTGGGTAGGTAAACCCTATTCACTGTGATGCGATGGCCCGGTATTGGTCGGTTAAGCATAGGTCGGGTCGGTCGTTACTTGGGTGGGTGAACCTTTACCGTAGTACACATGATTTCTCTCCACCATGATTAATGTTAACCCGTACCTTTTAAAATACTTGAACAAGTTACGTAGTAAACCTGGAGCTCTCTCAGGAGCTTTATGTTCCCAGTTACAGTAATTTCTTCGCTTCTTTGCGTATTCCATATGAAATAAAACAAAAGAGGGCCGGGACAGCTGATCCATGCTTTTCACATTTTAATTCGAGCAAGTACCTATGTACCTACAAAATGTTTGTTGAACTAAACAAAATGGCCTCATGAGAAATAACTCGGTGGGTGTTTAAGCTAAAATTAGAAACGTTTATTTTTGCTCTTTTTATAGCCATAGGTAGCTGTAATATTAAAATGAGGCCTTCTAATAATACGGTTCTTTAATGTTACACATACTAAAATAATTTACTTCTATTTGATTAAATATTTGAACTTCTTGGAATTTTCCTCGAGAGTAAGCTAGGATAGGTATTGTACTTTACAGTTGGTTTTGTTAGATAGTATGATTACATTTTCATGCAGACACAGTAGGTGCCTGTCTGTCTGTGTACACACAACTACAAATCAAGCTATAAAAACCAGTTTATCATGGTGTCGCTTCGTATGATCTTTCTGCACATTCAAGCGTCAGTTTGTACTGGTTATACGTAGCTTGATACGTAGACGTCGCGTCACCGTCCAAACACGTGCACTGAAGTAGTTGACCGGTCCGCTCACCCTAATATGCGACGCGTCACTGAAAATGAACGCTGCCATTGCAATGTTGACGAAACCTGACGTTTACCAAACTTCAAACAAACACGAACAAATAAAGTTGATGCGTTTGCACTCCATCATTTATGTAAACGGATTATTGATCAATTTTAAATACCCCTTTAATCCGTATCCGTTTGATTGGAGTCGATAAGCTTTATTTACATTTAAACAATGTTTTATTTGCGTTGGCAGAATTTGTGGAAGTGGCGATGATGAGAATATTTTTAAAAATATTCAGATTTTAATCTCTCGTATGCCGGCCGTATATAAGACAATACAAAACATATTGTCTCGCGTACTCACATTGTGTTTTCTACGCTCCGGCATGCCACGGGTTAAACTACCAACTTGCTACAAATAGTAAAAATATGTTTTAGATTGATTCCTAATTCAAAACTTTGATACTGAATTAATCAAATAACATGAATAAGAAAGTGAGAAAAAAACACATAGCGTACTTGTTAAAGTAAGTAAGTGTGGAATAATTCCCACGGGAACACGGCGAAGACCGGGTAGAAGCTAGTCGGAAAATAAAATACCAATAATTTGCTTTTTGTTAATAAATAAAAAGATATTACAGAATATGGTCTCTTCATAGAAATTAAAATAAATTGTAAAGACCTCCATAGTTCCTCTTAATAGTTGTTGGCAATGGCAAATTGTCCCAAAATTCAATATTCGCGCCTTTTATTACTCTTGTTCTTAATTAACGTAAGTAAACAAAGTTCACTTAAAACGTTTTAATTAGATTCTGAGCAACTTTATAAAACTTGTACTTCATAATTAATTTTCATCTACTTCTTATTAGAAGGCTATTGTTTAGTATATCTTAGGTACAAATTACAACATATTCTTAGTATTTAAACAGGTATTCGTAACATAAAAGTAAATTGGTCTTTCTGTCTTTGTTATTAAGACTCCTTTGTGAGTGATGCTATAAAAAGTTTCGTAATGTATTTTTACAATTATGGTTGGAGCATCCAATTACCCAACACCATTCATATCAGCCCCAAGACATCCACTGCTCAACATAGGCCTCTCCCAATGACTTCACGATAGGCCGGTAGAAAGCGACCTATATTCAGCGGATCCCTGCGACCTTAATCAGGTTGTCTGTTCACCTTGTGGACACATCCGTCACCATAATATTCTTTTATTTCAAAATCTTAGAGTGTAATCGTTCCTACGTTTTTACACAGTCATAACATGACATAAAAGCAACGCTTTCGCTTCCCGTCAGAGGTAAAGTTGCACATAATAAACGGCCAATAAATGGCAATACCAAACTCCATTCAATAACACTAATGTCACAGAAATAAAACCGTATTCCATTCGAACAGAGTATATATAAAAACACTACGAAAATAATGTCTAATTGATTGACAAAACCAAACCAGATTGTCCGTTGAACGAAATTAAAAAAGTTTTCCCAAATCAAATGACAGACTCTCGAAAAGTTCACGCGAAACTCGCACTTAAAATAGCTGAAGCAGTAGGCTTTTTTGCTTATATCTGCACACCTACTTTTTATATGCTATCGATGACAACCGAAAGGTATTTTTATGAATGGCGTAGAAGTTACGACATCGGTTCTCGGTTACTTTTTTTCCTAAATTTCATTGGAGTATTTTCGTCTTGTTTCATTTTTACCTGGCCTTTGGTTGTTTCATTCTATATAAAGATATTTACGTCGTATATCCAAAATTAGTATAAAGTTTGTATTGTGTACAATTTTAGTAGCGATTTCGTAATCAATGTATTTATTTTTCACGAAATATTATTCTTATAAGTAATTATTAATTCAAACCAATTCATTAAGCCAAACAACCTAAAAAGTACTTTAATTTGAGTCAAATGTTCCAGGCGGCATGTACAGTTTGTATTGTATATAGTGTGTGACCCATTTTTACTTGGTCACATTCCAGCTCTTACACTCCTATGTTCTGGTTAGTCCCAAGAGTATTAAATATTTATACTCACAGTTGATGATTTTTGTGACCGAACCAGCTGTTCAATAATGAATGAAAGGATAGTAGCCACGGCATTTAAAATTAGTAGCTCCCTAATTTGTACTGGTTCGCAAGCCACGACTCGTAACTTGCCGTCCCTCAACTTTTATGTAATGACTTTTGTTTGCTCTTAATTTAATTAATTCCAACCAATTACCATATCCATCACAAGGATTCACAGAAAAATATACATTCGACTCCCTTGAAAGGTCAACGAACTTACAGTGGTTAGAAGTTCTCTAGTCCTGTAACAAAGAGTGCCGATAAATTAAATCAGGACCCCTGTAGCGATACCTGCTTGTTACGTTCGTATAGGTAGTTTAGTAATCAAGTTATATAACTCACACGTGTCAAAATCAGAGAAATAAATACGGTTAATTTAAGTTAGGGGAGTTTGTTTACTCACGTCGCTACTTCTTTGTCTGCCGTCCCGTGTAGCTGGTAGCGGCGTGAGGTGCGCGCCCGCGTTTGTCCTAACACAAAAGATAAATACCACCGTCGAACAAGACGAGTAATTGAGATAAACAGACGTGTATACAACTACATAACTTTCTGCCTTCCGATGTAACGCATAATAAAATCAACCAAGTTGCTCCACTAACTTACTCTACTCGCTGTTCGTTTTGATTAACGGGCATTATCGTGGGGCACCAAATCCGATTAACCTTTTATAATATCATTAGCTGTTTCCACAGATTATATCAGTCCGTAACTTGAATAGCATCAGCGTATCTGCCGTATCCTAATGGATGTCTAATTCATTTACAGCGTCTTTAATGATGTTTTCTCCAGTGAAACATAAGCTCAAATGAGGCGATTAAGCGTTGAAGATGAACAGGCCGGGCTACGATTATACCGTGCCTGCATCCACCACCTATTACGCGAGTAATAACCGGCCACCGCAATACGAGCGCGGCTACGGACAGCTCACAGCCGGTCCTCTTTACAGTCCCTCCTCCCACCCCCTCTCCAATTACGCAGATGTATACGAGGGTAACAACGACACCACTCTTAGGGCAGAAGAGAGGCACTGGTACATAGAAAACCATAAAAATTTACAACCAAGCTATGAAGTCAGTGTCGATGCCATACCTCAAGATGCCAAAGTTAAGAAAGAGGAGGAGAAGAAAAGTGAAGCTCCAATCCGACGCTCTGAAGCGGGACAGCCGCGACAGAGACGGAAAGAGGATCGGTGTTCCTGCGAGTGCTGGCCTAGTACTGACAATAATATCGTGCAAGATAGTACAGGGAACGAGACGACGCGGTCGTTGTCGGGCGTCGACATGGTCGCCTCGTACGGAGTCTATGGGAACCCCAGGGATGACGACAGCTCTGGGTTCGCCCGACTGTCAGAGAAGAGTGCTGTGTATGGACAAGGGAGCGATGCTCCAGTACAGGGTGTGATAGTGAATCAGCAGGGGAACAGTGCGGTGGTACGAGCATCTTCGCCCGTGCAGCCTGCCTGCAGTCGCTGCTGCGGGTGGTCCACCACTGCAGGCAGTGCTCCCGCAGCCAACTCTGAAGATTATTGCTGGATACACTACTGCCGCCCTGCGCTTATAGTCTTACTACTATTATTTTTTCTAGTCTTGTTGGGCGTTTCTACTGGTTTCTTACTGACGAATAACTGTAAGTATCTACATAACATTTTAATAATCCTATTAAGTCCACATTGACCTTGTTGTAAGTGGTGGTAATGACCGCCGCATTGCGGTTCCTTTTTTATTTCACTTAGTTTATTTTCTTTCATTAAAATGTTCTATTGCGAGTTATATTTTAACGCTTCCACAATAAAAAAATACTATTCGAATTAAATATTCACAAAATGTGCAGCATACTGATTAAACAATTTTATATAAGCAACCTCTGACTGACAAGTTTGCAGCCATACTACGATCTCAATTCAGTTTGGTCGGAAATAAATAACACAAAACGCACTGTTTTATAGTTTCCGATCTACGTTAAAATTAATTGTTCACTCAATTCTATCGATTAAAAAAACATTTTCAAACGGACGTGTCTAGAAATAGTTTCGAACGCGAATTGAAAACTGCCGTCACTTCCCGCGCTCTCGATTAATTCGATCATTGCCGTCCACAGATAAAGCTCGTCGGCACTACATGTACTTGATTCACGGCTGACGATATGTTAGATTTTATATCCATCAGTCAATGGCTACATTGGGTGCAAAACTAAATTATTTTATCTTTTTTGTTGAGACTAACAAGTCCAAGCGCTCCCGCGGCTAAAATTCCAGTTCAATCCGGAACTACAGCGCTTACCAATCAAATCCACCAAGCAATTGTTTTTGCTTACTGCGAAACGACTAGTGTACGTTTTATGGCTGCTATTGTTAATTGATGATTTTTGTGTAAAAAATAGTTAGTTCATATAAGCCTGTTTACTGTTTAATTATAAATTTATGCCAACAATGATGAAGTTTAATTTTGCATTCACAACTGTTCTGATAATAAACCGTTCGCTCTAAAATAACGAAATATAAAGCAAACAGTTTTAATTTCGAAGATATTAAAAAGTTTTAAGTATCCGAGTTTTCAGATGTTGAACAAATTATGATTTCGAGACGTAAAGTAAGAAGTTGCACCTGCACTACAATCGCTCGCCGACAGAACCAACTTTTACTGAGTGTCAACAAATATTTTAAAATAACATTATTTTAAAGTAATAACATCTTAAGTAACTTACATTCGAGTATTAAATTATTCTAAAAAGAGTAACTAAAGAGTAATTTGTATTCATACCTATTTCTTTTTCTTTATAATTTTTTATTAATAGCAGTAGCAATCATTTAGTTATATCAACACGAAATTTCAGTTATGTTGAATGCGGAGAAAAATATCACTATTTTATATATTTATTTTTGAAGCATATTTCAATATAATACGTTATTGTACAGTGCAAACTCAAGCTTGAATCCAAGTCATTTGATTTTCATCCTAAATGAGTTCCAACAATAATACAAAGTAAAAAATAAAGGGATGGTGTCCCTAAATTTTAACCTCGATTTAGCTAAATCGAAAGACATATACAGTTATATTGCCGGCTGTATGAATACCGGGTTCCATTCCGTTCCGCTCGTTTTTCTCTCTGGCAGAACATTAATTTTAGTGGCACTCTGGGCGCACACTCACAGTCGGATTTTCAAATTGCGGTGAAACCATTGGAATTAAGGAAGTAGCTTAAATATTCATGGAGTGACAGGATAACGTTAAAACAAGTCACAACTCTGTCTGAAAGTATTGGCGTTTGTGTTAATATTATTGATTGACGAAGTGCAAATATATGTATAGGAAAGTATAAACGACTTCAAAAAGTACAGTTGAACACCTTAACTCTACTTGGAATTTTTCTTACAAAAGCTTTTTGACATCAAAGAGCAGTTTGGTCTCGTCAGCCCTTTAAGGTGCTTTGAAATCCCTAACACAATCATGGTGGGGAGGTCGAATGACGTCACGACACCCAGCCACTTCACCTGCCGTTTCCGTTTTAATTGCAAAACATTTCCGTAATGACAGGGATATTTTAAAATTACTGTTACAAGTTAGTTTGTACGAATGTTTAAAGGAAAAGTAATATTTTTCGTAAATCTTTGTCATTTGTCGTTCCTCGTTTCCAGCGTTTCAAGTTCTCCAGTTATACCTGTAACATATTGCTTTCATAGCTTTTCATGAAGCAAATTTTATTCTTGTATAAAGTTGGATGTAGAATGTGTGGCGCAAAAAGTTTCTCTCCAACTTTGAGAGTCGTCGATTAACTTTTAATTAATGAAAGGCAGAGTTTGGTTCGGAAACAGTTTTCTAGATATTGATAAAATCGACGCCAACACTTTGTCTGATAGATAAAATGGAAAAAGTTTTAATTTTGGGAGTTTAAGTTCGGTTAGTGAATAGAAAACTCGTTTCATAACGAGTGCCTACTTGTGAATGATTATAACATTTATAGTTGTATTCTTAAATTACCGATAAAAAATAAAACTGGTTAAGTACAACATACATAAAGATAAATAAACATCCTTGCTCTTTAAGCAGTAATTAGAATGAACACAGCAATTATCTTTGATCAACAATACACGATACCAATAACTTAACATTATTAACTAATACAACTCACTTAGCAAGTACAGCATCATCATAAATAGACCAATCAACGCGATTGTTATTTGGCCAAGTTACATACAAGATCCAATAATGTTTCACATATCCGTCTAGTGATATTGGCTTACTATTCTCAGTTATTGACTTTAGAATGGTTCCCGATAAACGGAAATAGGACCATGCCAGTGCCACATAATTGAGACCTAATACTCTGAGTTTATTGGAAACAGTCACTTTAAGTACCGTTTACCTGTATGTAGGTACTACATAAGTAATGTGTATGAAATTATAGTTGTTATCGTTCGATAGGGTAGATAGAATAATTGTTGTATTTATTCTTCCATTGTTTGTCGAATAATTTCATTGTAACCGATAGATGAATGTGGAATATCTTGACTTAAGGTGCGACATTTAAATCAGATTTTTTATGGTTCAAGCTGATAAACATACCGACGGATCACCTGATGGTAAGCATTTGGCGTCGCCCATGGACACTCGGAACACCAGAGGCGTTACAAGTGCATTACCGGCCTTTTGGGGATGATTAGGTATTTGAGGATTGTTGGGAATCCAGGGACTGGGGAGATGGGGCCCTAATAAGATGATCAGGTTTTAATTCTTTTTCATATCTTTGACTGCATTGAATACGATTATTCTGAATCTGACATGTAAGTGAAATGATGTGTTTGTAAACACAACCACGATACAATGAAAAGTTGTAGAACGTTTTACATTTTATAAGTAAAAAATACTTCAATCTCACGCAGACACAGACCATGTGCAGTGTAAGGACGTAATGAAATTGAAGGCAATTTGCAAATTACAAAAAAGTCCATGTAATACCATTATCGTCAATGAGTTACCAAGTCGTAAGTCAGTCCTCATCAGTCGGTAGTAGATACTTAAACAAAAAGATAAGCCTAACACACTTTATGCTTCCTTTCGTTAAAAATCACTATGCAAATGAGGTAGATTACATGAATATCATTAGGTACTATTATTTAAAACAGGGAGGTTCTTTACAAGCCACCGTTTACATGGGTGGGTTAATACTGAAAGATAAAATATACTGGTTGGGTTCATCGCGGTTATGCTAAAGTTGTTTTTATTATTTTTTACTTTAACGGATCATTTATTCAGATTTTGTAAGAATTTAGTTCATCATATTGCATCGGCCACAAGATGATCACTGCGGAACATATCCTTAACTCGTCGAGTACCGTATTTATAGACACAATTAAAGAACAATAGGTTGCGGTCACCGGTGACCGCTTGGTGTTTGACAGTTTAATGGCTTTGAGGTCGGTCATTCGGAAGTTACCTGGATTTGAGTTTAGTTGATTATCGGGATTATATTGTGTTTACATTACATTTTTTATATTTGATGGACCGACGTTTGACCCCTATCTCGTCTGGCGGTAAGCGATGATGCGGTCTACAATAGAGCAGGTGGTTCAATAAGCAACCTAATGTACTTACGCGTATAATGTACTGATTTTTTTTTATTAAAAAGAATCCTTGTGTGTCTGTACTCTCAGTGAATAGTCAGAAACTAGAAAACAAATTATTATGTTTTCGGCTTACTTACGTAATAATTTGACGAGGAACTCGACTAGTTTCAAGCCACGCTAGAGGCTCATATTCATGAGCAGCATTTCGCGATCCGCGACGTTATTACGTGAGTAAGCCGAGAACATAATAATTTATTTAGTATGTCTCACGAAAGTTACAATAGAAAACAAATATTGATGATATATTTTTATGAAAACGCTGGAAAGCCTCAAAATCTGTAAACGTAGCTTGTATGATGTGTTTAATCATTAGAAAGTTTGAAATGATTACTTGACGAGCTGTATCATTAGAACATTTTTCATAGGCAATAGTTATCTAGTGTTTGGTTTACGAGCATCTGATAGAAAAGAATAATATTCTTTTCCACTGAAGTATTTGAAATCAAAACATTGACTGTCATCCGATAGGTACTGATTACAAACAACGCCATTTTAGTTGTGAAAAAGTCCAAAAGAGAGAATAAACATTATTGACATGTTTTCTCTACAAATATTTTTTATTATCATCGTAGTAGGCCGCATTATTGCTTACCACCAGGCGAGATAGTGGTCCTGGTCAAACGTAGGCCAATCAAATATAAACATATTTAAAAAAGGAGTCTGTGCATTTGATCATAAGTCATAAATTACCTTAAGGAAGTCAGCATCACAGAAGGTAAGGCAGGAACAATCCTAAAAAAACAATGTAAGTAAATAATGGACGTGGCTCATAAAAGTCGGGAAGATACAAGCCACCTCGTTGCAGGATGATAACCTCATTTGTAATTAAATTAAAATATTTGGCGCCTGCCTCGTAATCTCTTATTAAAACTTTGTGTCTTGGATCTTGATTCACGAAAATGCTGACTGTAGTATGTTTGAAATAAATCCTTATGAATTTTCATAAGAATTTTAATTAGGTTTTTAGGATATTTTACGGATTCCTTTAAGTCTCGGTTTTTGT